GATAGATAGATAGATAGATAGATAGATAGATAGATAGATAGATAGATAGATAGATAAACTCAACAGACGCCTGAGCTAATGGCACAGCAGATCAAAGGACTTGAACATTTCAATAGCCACACCATTCTTTTCTTCAGCACATGAAACTTTCACTGTGTAGAATAGACCAGATCAGAGGGTACAAAACAAGTCTTAGCAAATCCCAAACCCCTGAAATCACACCCTGTCTCTTTTCTCGTCATGGTGGTGTGCACCTGGAAGCTACAGCAAGCGAAACCTGAAAATTAAAAAATGCCCGGAGACTGAGCAGCACATTTTAATTTTGTTAGTTTACAGAGCAGCAAGCTTCCTTAAGGCACCCTCATACGCACTTAGCTTTGATGAGCCCAGACTCTTCCCACCCTCTGCCCTCCCTGCCCCTTGCCCACTTATGCCATTCCATCCCCGAGTTATTCTTCCACTTTTGTGTCACATGTTCTGTTACCCCCACACTCTGCCTGAAGGCCTTACCCCACTTCAGGCCACCTTCCTAGTTTCCCAAGCTCCATATACACTTGGCTTCATGTAAGCGCACATATATAAAAATAAGAAGCTAGAACTCATGTATGAGAGAGAAGGTGCAGTATTCTTCTTTCTGAACCTCAGTGTGTGACCTCACTTAATATAATATTTTCCAGTTCTACCCATTTTCTTTCAGATTTCATCATTAATAGGTCCATTTCCTTCCTAATGTGAACAGAGCATCAATAAACATAGATGTGTCAAACAATATGCTTCAGCTGGTGGCATGGCTCAGTGGATAAAGGCACTGTGTGAGGCTCTGGCAAGACTGATTTTGAGCCTCAGATCCCACAAAGTGGCAGGAGAGGATTGACTCTCAAGAATTGTCCTCTAACCTCTCTACATGCACATCATGGCACACACATTTTTATACACAGAGAGACACGTTTTAAAATAAGCTTTTGGTTACTGAGGAAGTCAGGGGGGACAGGTGATAGGATACAGTAGGATACAGCCTACTGAAGCCCTGGGACACAGCAAAAACAGCACCGAGTGACGTTCCTATCGGGAATGCCCACATCAGAGGGTAGAAAGACCAAGAACAAACAACCTAATGATGCACACCTCAAGGTCTCACAAAAGCAAGAATGAACCACATCCCAAAATGGTTGGAGGAGAGAACACAAGTCAGGGCAGAAAGATGTGAGGTCAAGTCTGCCACACAAGGCAAAGAGCCTGTAAGAGCATACAAACCAAATGGCAAGCCTCATCTACAATAGCAAATGAGGAGATGAGGGAACATGAATTAAAAGGAACTAAATATAAGAATTTACTGGTCTAGGCAGCCCTTGTGCTCACAGACATGCACTAGGGGAAATTGCAATGTTAAGCACGTAGGATTGTTCCTTCAATAGAAGGAATACAGAACCTGTTTTCCACCCGGAAGGCTGGAACAGGCATGCTTTCTAGCCTGGGGACCTTTGTGCTGTGTGGCCAGAGACTTTTGGGCACCAGACCCTCTTGCAAGCTTACTTTTTCTCAATCTATAGAACCCACCTTTCTGGAAGGTGCACAGAAATGTGTCCTTTAGGATGATGATGGTGGAGCTGAGGTGTACTCTATCCTAATAGACAGTAATTGAAATATTTCCACCAATAACCTTCCCAAATGTGGCAGGACCCCTGGAAGCACAATGAACTCCAAGTAAGAAGAAGTTCAAAGGTCACCAAGGAGACACACTAGGATGCAGTCACTGCGAGACAAGCATGGGAGTTGGAAGCGCGTTTCTCACCTGCACCCGAGGCCGGGAGACAATGGCTAATATGTTAGGTGTACTTCTATAATAGGATGGAAATAGTCCTACTCAGAAATCAACACTCGGCAAATTATCCTTTAAATACAAAGGAAAGCTGCACATGGTGGCTGTTACCTACAGTCCCAAACTACTTAGAAAGCTGAAGCAGGAGGGTCCCAAGTTCAAAGTCAACCTAAAGGACCTTGTCTGAAAATATGTGGAAATACATAAAAAGCCTTATAACTGCCCCAACGTGGAATGCTTTCAGGGCACATGCAGGTGCCTTTTTTCCAACCTTCATTTACACAAAGGAAAAAAAAAAAAAAAAGGATGGAGAAGTTCAGATATGTCTGCCTAGTTAAGAGGGTCTGTGGCTCACGGCCATGCTCTATAATTAGTTGGGGTTTTTATTCATCACAGAAAGGACTCAGAATACAGGAAGAAATGAGGTCTGTCTACAATACCTGCTCTCCGGACTGCATGGAGTCTGCCCCTAATGTTTGTCCATGTTTCAGCACACTCTTCCGGTCTATCCTGTTTACAGAAACACACAGCCCTGACCCTGTTTCCATGTGTGACTTTACTTATTTAAATCTCCTTTCCCTTTAGTCAGGTTAGACACTGGCCAGTGTTGTTTGTCGATGCCTCCATCCCACCACTGTTTTTCTAGATCTCAGCGACCAGGCTCTATTCTGTACTTCCTGCTCACTTCTGGGTGTGGCTTCCATTTACACTTCCTTTTCCTGGTTCCTCAAGTTGGGTGAGTTTAGATGACTGGTCTTCTTCGTTTGTGACTATGAGTTTTCCTCTTGTGCCGTTTTGGCCGCATCCCAGATTGGGTTTGCTGTGTTTTCATTTTCATCTGCCCCTTGTATATTCCAGCTTTTCCCCTGACTCCCCGGCTATTTGTGTGTGTGTGTGTGTGTGTGTGTGTGTGTGTGTGTGTGTGCGCGCGCTCTGTGTATATAGATTGGGGAACTTGCCAGTTCTCTTTCTGTTTTGATTTCTATTTCTTTCTACCGTGGTCAGAGATGCGCCTCATATAATCTCAACTATTTCAAATTCCTTGAGACTTGCTTGGCCCAAGCCGTGAGGTGACCCTCAGGGTGGGGGAAGTTGTTGCTGCTGCTTTGCGTGTTCTGTGTGGCTGCGGATGATGCTCCCTGTGCTGTCTGTTTTTCCTCCTGTTTCTCCTTTTTACAGTGCTGCACCAGCAATGGCTTGCTGGCATTGCCAGCTGCCATCAGCGTAAGAGAGTTGAGTTCTTCCCAGTTCAGCTCCATGTATATTGGAGTCTACACGATGATAACCATGTGGTCTTGGTAGATTGCTCTCTGTGTTGATATTTAGTGTTACTCATTGTTTCCTAACCAGTTCCAATTCTGCAGCATGCCCTGTCTACTCTTATTTTGCTGCCCACATCCCGTTGGTTGCTTTTTGCAGGTGTCTCTTCCCCCATACCTCCATCTTCATCCCTCTGTGTCTCAGGTCTAAAGTGTATGAACTGACCCAGGCCAATGGTTTTGACCTAAGATGGTCAAAGAAGTTAATCACTAAATAAAAACCATTCCTGAATGAAGAGCCCAGGGCCAATAGCTTCAGAAATAGTGGCAGGAAACATTTAGAAAAGAATTATGAGCTCTTCTGGTACCACACCCCACCCATAAAACACAATCCGACTGACCCAGCAGCATAGATAAGGATTGTGCGGCACAGCAGGGTTTCAGGGAATGCAAGGCTGACTCTACAGGGGAAATTAACCTGTACAGTTTATCACAGGGGACTGAGGAACCTCAGAGCCATCTCAATCATGCAAGAAAGGATGCCTAGGAACATCCAACACCCCTTCATAATAGCAACGCTCAACAAGGCTCACAGAATGTTCCCAGTGCAATGCAGGACAGCCATGAAGCCTACCCCTTTCTAAGGTGAGGGACAGGGCAGAGGTGTCCATTCCCACCACTTCCTCTCGACACTGCTGCCCTGGAGGCTATAGTCAAAGCCATTAGGCAAGAAAAAAAAATACAGTTACCAACAGTAAAGCCTTCAGGGGTCAAAACTGTGCTTCCGGTGTAATGCTGGGTGTGTAGATCAAACTTCTAACAACAGAGCCAGGAAACGCAGCGATGGAAGAGCGGTCTCTTCCACAAATGGTGGAACAGTCAGGTGGTCATATGTCGTAGATAATACCACACACTAATGCCACATCAAAAATTAACTCAAAATGCATCAGAAACCCAACTATGTGAACCAAAGCTATGAAGTCCTAGAAGAAAAGCTTAAAAGCCAATCTCCTGACCAAAGACTCCACTGTGATGTCTCAGACAAGTCGCAAAAGCGCGAGGGACACAAGAGAAGAGACTTCGAACCACCTAAATGAAGACAGCCCTGGACATCAAAGGGCATGATCAGAGAATTGAGTGACGGCCCTCAGAACACAGATGGTCAGGGGAACCTGCTATCCAGAATCCACCGAGAACTCCGTGACAGGAAAGACAACAGTCAAAAGGACTGTCGAAATTTATTGTTAAAGAAAAGACAGGGTAGTGTTCAGACCGTGCATGGGTTTTCAATGGCCATTTCCTTAAAGGAGACATACACACAGTGACAGAGTGCTTGGAGCCCAGTCTCAGGTCATTAGAAAATGAGCTGGACAATGCAGTGGGCAGCAGGGGCACACCTGGGTAGCTCTGTGCACTGTCAGGGGATACTGACTGGAAATAGCCCTATAGACCCACCAAGGCTAAACGCAAAATCACACAGCTGAGCTCTCCTACCCGTGGGTCTCTGCCAAGGACTTTGGTGAAATGGTCAAACTCGAAGGTGAGATTATTCACAGGAGAGCTGTTCACAGTATCACAAAGCTGGAAATGGGCCGAGTGCCCAGCCATCGACAGAGAGGCAAAACGTGGTGCCGCCACGTGAGAGAATAGAATTCAGCCTCAAAGAAATGCATTCCTGACACAACCGTGACTGGATAAAAATGGAAATGTACTGTTCCCTGAGGCTAGGCTTTGAGGCCCGTTGGCTTTGATTCTTAAAAATGTGTTTCTAGTCCTGTCCTCCACTGCAGTCTTGTTTGGCTGCCTGTTTAAGGGACGGTATCTGACCTCTCACCTTTGACCTCCAGAGAGAGAAGCTAAGGGTAAGGCTGGGGAGTGGGATAGAGAGTGAGATCTGAAAGGCCTGTGCAAAACCTTTCAAAGCTAGGTCAAAGGGGAAGCTGGAAGTTTCCAGCTGAGACCAGTTGAAACTACGGGTGGCTGGCAGAGATCCAGAGGGGTCGGTGAGCTGTGGCTATCATGCTGATGAGGCCTGTCAAGGATGAAGCTGTGCCATGCATATGAGGCAGGAAGCCGGCACTGCGTGGTACAGAAGCCCCACCCAGCACAGCCAGGCCTTTGAACTGCTGAGCTCTGCTCCCCTGTCTGTGACTGCGCAAACCCGGTCCACTGCTTTCTGGGGCCCATGACTCCCAGCAAGCGCCTCCCCACCCCCAAACCAGGCATCCGACAACATAGAGGACACTGGGAAGCAGAGGCCATGGATGGGATGCTCTGGGCCCAGTGCTGGTCTCAGATTCAGGAGAGACAAGTCTGTGATGGGCCCATTGCCTCTCTCCCCACACAGGCAGGCTGGACCACACCTCCGAGGACAGAGCTGGAGGACGCAATAGTCTTGGTGCCCAGCGTCATAACCAGGTACCCTGGCAGGTGACCAAAAGGTAGAGGGCACAGGGTCAGCCCAGGAAGGCTGTGATTTTCCTCCAGTGGTGCCTATTTTTAGGGCAACCAGCACAACAGGAGTTTATGCCTGAGCCCTGCAGCACACCCTCCAGAATGAACAACAAGGAAGAGGAAGGGCGCACAGCCTCCTGCAGCAACATTCCTGGAGGATAAAAGCCTGGCGCCCAGAGCACATCACACACACACTCCCTCATCGCTCACACTCATTCAACACACGCTCAGCTCCCAGCCAACCCCGCCACGGCCGCCTCCACCATGTCTGTCTGCTCTGACGCTCGCACCAACTCCTCCTGGCAGGTGGACGACTGCCCAGAGAGCTGCTGTGAGCCCTGCTGCTGTGCCCCCAGCTGCTGCCAGCCCAGCTGCTGCCAGCCCAGCTGCTGTGCCCCAGCCCCCTGCCTGACCCTCGTCTGCACCCCAGTGAGCTGTGTGTCCAGCCCCTGCTGCCAATCTTCCTGTTGTACACCCTCATGCTGCCAGCAGTCTAGCTGCCAGCCAGCTTGCTGCACCTGCTCCCCCTGCCAGCCATCCTGCTGTATGACTCTCTGCTGCAAGCCTGTCTGCTGCACACCCATCTGCTCTGGCTCCTCCTCATGCTGCCAGTCCTCATGTTGCCAGCCGCCTAGCTGTGTGCCTGTCTGCTGCAAGCCTGTCTGCTGCACACCCATCTGCTCTGGCTCCTCCTCATGCTGCCAGCCATCTTGCTGTGCTCCTGTCTGCTGCAAGCCCTGCTCCAGCATGTCCCTGCTCTGCCGCCCTGTGTGCAGACCCACCTGCTGCGTGCCCACCTCCTCCTGCTGTGCCTCCTCCTGCCAGCCCAGCTGCTGCCGCCCGGCCTCCTGTGTGTCACTGCTCTGCCACCCTGCCTGCTCCCGCCAGACCTCCTGTGGCCTCTCTTCAGGCCAGAAGTCCAGCTGCTGATCCCTAGTCCTCACCTGGGGTGCTAACTCACACAGCTGCTTCCCCACTGCTTTGTTCCCGCCCTGTAGCCTTGACCACAGACTAGCCATGGCCATGCAGAGGGTGCTTTGCAGAGTCCTACCCTGAGGCTGCCTGAGTGGAGCGTCACTGCCTTCTTAAGTCCCAAGTCGTAAGATTAGTCCCAATTCCAGCCATCTAGCCTCACCTGGGCTGTCAATGCACATACTGTGATAACCCTGCCTTTTGGGGCTGGAGAGTTGGCTCAGTGGTTAAGGGCACATATACTCCTGCAAAGGACCTGAGTCCTCTTCCCAGTGCACAAAGGGTGACTTTTGTAAGCTGTAATTCCTTCCCCAGGGGATTTGCTGCCCTCTTCTGGCCTCTGCAGACACCTACACACACACACACACACACACACACACACACACACACACACACGCATGCACATATGCACACACACTAAAAATTAAAAATAAATAAATAAATCTGTTTCCTAATGATCTGTGTCTTGTATATGGCAAGAGGCGGGTGGGCATGAGGGGCCAGACTTCATGCAGCAAATGGAACCTAGTATAGCCTGACTCTTCTCAGAGTGGCTACTTGGCATCCGAGCTAGGAAGGTGGGGTGAAATAACTACCAGGCAGCCATGCACCCCTGAGCCTCACAGCAGCTCCTGAGGGCTGGGTCCACTTGAACATGACCCTCCTACCAGGAAGCTACATCTCCAGTCTCCCCTGAGGGATCAGCCCTCGATGGCGCTACTCATTCTGCCTCTAGCTCTCCCAGAGGCTCTACCCTCCGCCCAGGTGTCCACATCTAAGCCAGGGCTCCAAGGCCCTAAGAACGCCAGCCTCACACAGGCTTTTGGGTGCCTTCTGCCAATCCGGCTCTCCTGGATTCCAATGCCTTCCCGTAGCCCCAGTGCCCCACAGTCCTTCCAAGCAGCTGCCTCACACAATGTGGGATTGATGTCCCGCCTTGCTGCCTTGCAGTTCAGACCCAACATCCCACCCTGATGGAGCACAGGGACTACTCACGAGGTAACACCAGCTGTGCCACCAGCCCCTGGTCCTCACACACAGGGCTCCTGTGCTCAGGAGGCCACCTCCCTTTCCCCACTCAAAAGACCTCACAGGATAACTACTGAGGCATTCCAGCACCAGAGACAATATGACACAGCCTTGTCTTGTTCTTGGGGGCAAATCTATGCACGCACAGATAAGGGGATGCAGAGGGCCATGATGTCCACACCTGCTATGGGTGCTGTGTGGCCAACAGGTAAGGCTCAACTTTACTGGAAGATCACCCCCAACATCCGTCTGGCCCTCTTTGGTACTCTGATGGCCACAGGGTTTGGAACAGAAGCAGGACAGGGGAGAGCTCACTGTGACTTCAGCCTGACACTTTGCATGCTGATTCCCAAAAGAGGGGGCCTCATCTGCATGGTGACTCTTGGTCTGCCAGAGGGATGCCCTCTGGCACTCAGGAAGTGTGTCCCCTGTCTCCTATGAGGCTCTTTCCTAGTGTGGTCACACTGAAAGACACTGTTCAAGGTTTTTAATTGTAGGTGACCCTGGTACTCTGCCAGGCCAGCTCTAGGCTTCATCTTGGGGGAAATGAGAACGTGTGTCCATACAGAGCAGTATCTGATCAGGTCCACACTACTGACAACAACAGGAAGTTATTCAAATGTCCATCAGCAGGAGAGTGGATAGGATGTGCGTGGGCTGTCCACACAGGGCACATCACACAGCCGTGGAGGAGCCAAACAGGCAGATTCACCTTGGAAACATCGTGCTTGATGAGATGACCTGAGAGGCCACGAGAGGAGCACACAGAACAGGGACTTCCGGAAATGGTCAGCGGGTGCACAGGCCAGTCAGATGGCTCGCTGCTGAGACAAATATCTGGCAAGAGAACTGGGGATGGAGGCAGTGGTTGGTGAGTCCTCTTGACTCATGGTTTCAAAGGATCCAGCTTTCACCCTGTTCATTCTGAGCCTGTGATAAGGCAGAATGCCATACAACCTGAGCATGGAGCTGAGGCTGCACCACTTCACCGCCAACAGGAAACAGGAAGGAGGAGGGGCAGGAAGAACCTCAGAAGGCCCGCCCCCAATGGCCTACTTCCTCCAGTAAGGCCAATGACCTAAAGTTCCATCCTCCTCCCCAAACAGCATCACCAACTGGAGAGCAGGCATTAAACATGTAAGCTTGTGAGAACATTCTGTAGCCAAACCACAACAGTAGATGTCAGAGGTGGGCCAGGGAAAGGACAGAAAGACTACTCAGGGGCAAGGAGCCTGGGATGAGATAATGCACACACTGATGACAGTCAGGTGCTATGGGAATGCTCTGATACCCTTGGCCGCACTCTCCAAGAGGCAGCTCTGTGGCTCACCAAGCACATCTCAAGAAAACTACCAGTAGGAGCTGCAGGCCATCATTGGGTCCCTGTGACTGACAACCCTGTCCCTTCACCTTAACCAGGGCACTGTCTGAGAGAATAGAAGCCATGGTCCCAGAGCCTTAAGGCTGAAGGTTAAGTCTGAAGTTGAGGCTGGCAGAAACAGGACAGAAAAGCCAAGTCCCAGATCAGGGCATGGAGGATGGCTGTGGGTGCCTAACATCTTCGGCTGACTGTGCCAACCCTGAAAAAGAGCCAGTGGCCTGCTTCAGGTACCCAAGATGGATGCTGCCTCTCACCAAACGATGGAAAGACAAGCCACCTCCCACAGAGTCTCCTGTGCGGAGGTCACTTCAGCAATGTGGCCAAGTGCCTGGGAGCCTTGCCACACACCTGGCTGTCGGTGAAGGACTTGGCCAAAGTCAGAGCAGGAAGAAGCACAAGTGAGCAGATGACAACACACAGCCCATGGAAATACAGGAGCCTGGACAGCACCTCAAGATGCCCCCCCGCAAGGTTCCTGAAGCCTTGGACAAGGCTGAGCCCTGGACTGAGGGTCCCTTGAGCCCCTAGGTACCTCCGAGGAAGCTAGACTCAGAAGATGAACTGAGCCAACTGGAACGGTTGCAACAGTGTGCCATAAAAAAACAATTCTAAAAGCCTGCACTGTTTACCTTTGCAGTTTTTCATTTTGTAGTTTTCAAACTTCTGGAAAGTGAAATTGGTAGACACGGGAGGTTGTGAACTAAGGGCAGAATGCTATCCTAATGATATGGCAGGGAGGAAAAAAAAAAGAGGAAAGGTATGAGGAAGGGTGGAAGAAGACCCCCCAGAGTTCCCAGAAACTAAAGCAGGGACCTGCAAGTGAGGGTATTTGCCAACAGGCTGCATTGTGGGTAGAGTGTGTGGTACCACCGAAGAGGGGGTTCAGGGGGTACAGAGGAGTGAAGGGAGGCTAAGATGGAGATCAGGAAAGCTGGAAATCAGGGTAGGGAAGGCAAGAGCCAGGGAGGATGGAGTCCCAGGAATGGATAGGAGCAGTCAGGCTGAAAGATGAGAAGCTCAAGGGATGCATGAGACCGGAGCTGAGACAAACAACATGGTGCTGGGAATTGAGGGGTTGGGAGAGGGTGCTGGCCACAGAAGTGGTACAAGGTTCCAGAAAGAGATGAGGTCACCAGAAGAACAATCCAGTCATAAGGCCAAGATGGTGACACACTTCTGGGATGCGGAGGCAAAAGGATCAAGAGTTCAGGGCAAACCTCAGCTACATAGTGAGGCCAGCCTGGGCTACAAAAGGTACTGTCTCAAAGAGAGAGAGAGAAGAAGAAGAAGAAGAAGAAGAAGAAGAAGAAGAAGAAGAAGAAG